AAACTATTGTCAGTCTATTCTATTAATTAACCTGTCCTATTTTCAGAAACACTTTTTCTCTAATGTACAGTGTAATTCTTTCCTTGTCATATCTGTTCTTCATACACAAGGGTAGATACTGCTTTCCTTTTTTCAGAAGTCTTTTATGAATGTCAAGATTAGTACTTCCTTCTCCCCACTTCGGTTTTGCCTCTGACATTTGTAATTTGAACTGGTCTTTTGCACAGAGCTCTGGATGCCAGGATGTCTATAAAACTAGTTACTGCAAATACTCATTGAAGCAGTCAATTGCTAACTTCTTACTTGTTTTCTCTGAAAATTACTAACTCTTTTGCATCCTCAGGGCAGATTTACAATTTGAAGTGCAATATATTTGACTTCTTGCTTGCCTTGACTCAGGAACCAGTGCTGTAGCCATCATCATGGTAAAGAGAGTGACTGACACAAGCCCACCCGCTCCGTACTTCTGACTGTGCACTACCTGTTTTAGCAAAGTAGCGCTGCTTGAAATTGAGACAGCTGAAACATAAATATTTTATGAATCCATTAGTATGCAACACAGAACATTCTTAAAACCGCTACTGACTGGAAGTGTGCATATATTGATAAGTAACTCTCTTGTTTGCTGGTACCATTTGACTGGAGTGCTGGTACAGTTGGTATCCATGTATTTTTGTCCAACTTTAATTTTCAGTTAGATTTCAGTTAAAGGCTTATCCTTTAACTAGTCCCCTAGAAAAACAAACCTAGATCCAAAGCTGAAGCTAGTAGAATCCAAATAAACACCACCTCCATCCAGATTTTCATTGATTTCCACGTTCTTTTGTTCATTCTTCACCTTAAAGAACAATTATTAGTATATTGAGCTAATAATTACATATAAGTAGATTAGCCTAGCAGGTTTTAGTTTTGTCTTTTGAGTGAAGTGGGGCTCTGGAAAACCATTCAGGAAAGATGATGATGCCTTTTGAAATAAAACTGTGCTTAAGAATTTTCTTCTAGATACTAATTGTATGTAAACGTCTCTTATTTTTTAGTGTGTGATTTCCTTGGGGAAAAGATTGCATCTGTTCTGGGGATAAGCACACCAAAATACCAGTATGCCATTGATGAGTATTACAGAATGAAGAGAGAGGTACGTGTGTGAGATAGATAGATAGATAGATAGATGGGGTTCTTGCATTCCTTTTCTTCCAACTTGCCTTCCCTGCTATTTTAAAAAATTAAATTTGTATTTCAGCATTAAAATGAAGTTTTGGAACTTCTGTTTCAGCTTGCCTTCAGTTTTCATTGGACACATGATTTGCTTGCTTATCCATCAGCCTTTTCTCACCAGCTCACCAGTCTTAGAACTGGCTGGTCCCCACCACTGCTCTCTTTGCTCTTTCTTGGACAATGCATTTTCAAGCCAGCGGTGACAGAGAGTCGGATGGAGCAGTTACTGGACACTGTAAAGACGTGGCTGCTAGGAGTATACCTTTCAACTCTCAGCCTTGTTCCATGAAGTGTTAAGGGTTAATTGAACATGATGTTACCATTTGTTCTAAACCATAACTGACTGATAGGTAGCCAGTGCTTTATGCAAAAAAAACTCCTTAATAATCTTCATTTGGAAGAGATGGGAAACCATTTTAAGGCTTTACTACTTATTTTTTATAGCTCTTCATTATTAAGAGATTAAAAAGCTTGAGAGAGGGTAGACCCATCACTATTCCTGTTGACTAAAATCTGCTTCTCTTGACATGTGACTTTTTTTTCTGTTTATTTAACACAATTTAATCCTTCACATTTGATGATTTTTTTTCTCCATAATGGGAATTCTGGAATGTACCTCATCTTATGATCAAGTGACCATTGTCTAGTAGAACAAATGTCCTTGCCTTGTAACAGGAACTGGTGTGCTCTTATGGAAGGACTTAAAGTGAATGTAACTAAATGGTAAATTGTAGCATACAAATCTGGTCATCTGTTTTTAGGAGGAAGAGGAGGAACAGGAAAACAAGAGGTCAGAAGAAGCAGAAAGACGGTATCAGGAACAGCAGAACAAGCCACAAGCTGAAGCTCCTGTCCAGACAGACCAGCCTGAAGCAACAGCATCCACTTCCTTTGTGAATGTAAACTTTGAAAACGAGGGCGATTGCCAGTCCGTTCGGGAAAATAACCGAGATGTAGTTCCTGTCCCCCCTTAAGTGTAAAGCTCTGTATAATGTAGGAAATAGGAAGTATCAGGTGTCACAACCTGGCTAAGCAGGAAATATAGGATTCTACTTGTTCAGTGAAATACAACTTCTAGCATTCTTATTGATCAGGAGAGAGCGAGGTGATGTCTGTTCAGTCTGCCTAATAAAGGCTGAGGCGTTCTGCCAAATTGGCACTTCAGTTAAAATGAAAATTGCACTAAAAACATTTGGTCTGAATTGAGTGTGTGAGCTAATTTCTGTGTAAAGCAAGTACAAATGTCTTTTCTTTGAGTTGCTGTGTCTCTAACACCTGTAGATTGCAGATACAGTGCTGTTTCCTACTTCTAAACACCTATTTCTGATTTGCACATTGTTTGCAACTCAGCTCTCTATGAATAGATTAATAGGAATCGATATCCTGTAACTCTCAAGTCATTATAACAGCGTCTCATTTCCCCTATTTATGGTCACTAGTGTATGCATGTATTTTATTTTCTGTTGTTGTTTAACACAAGAGATAATGTTAGATTTAATGTTAAGTAGATTGAAGGGTCCACTGACCTTTTTTTAATTAAAAAAACTCCAAACTGTAAAGGAGGCTGTAAACACCCTTAAGAACTTGTTAAGTACCAGCACACTTGGAGGCTAATAGTGCTCAGCTGCTCCATTCAGTGCTGTAGCAAAGTACAAAAATAGCATCGGTGTAAGATGTTCTCACTCCAAGAGGTAAGAGACTCACCTGCTTGAATACTTTATATGTTCTGAATGGTCCTGGGGAATAATCTAAAGTCTTGTTAAATTATACTGACTGCACTGGACACTGTGTATGGTACCACTTCAGAACTACACAAACTGTTTTGGACAGTTACGTGGTTACCCCAAGCAGACTGTTTGTTTAATGTTAACTTACCAGTAAGGGATGTGCACTTGCAGGTGTTTTTTCCCTTCTAGCACAGAATATTTAAATAACTAGAAATCACAAAACCAAACTCATGATTCTTCCTTTTTCTTAAATAAGCAAATCACTTTGTTGCAATAATGCAACAGTAATTTTTATTTTTAAGTGAAACACAGGTAGCTCCAGAGCTTTTAAGTAGCCCCAAATACCACTTAAAGCTATTTTACTGCCACGAGTGTCGTTCTACTTGTAGCTTGTAAAAGGTGAAAGGTTTACTTTTCGACAATCAGATGTCAGCGCTCCAGTCGCTTCCTATAGAGAATCCTTGTAGATAAAGGAGCAGAGAACCCACACCGGTTACCACACGAAACATTACTTCTGTCCTGGAGATTTCTAAAAGCAATTTTAAAAATAGTCTCTAGTGAAATTTTGCGTTGGGTATCGTTGTATGTCCCTGGCCTTGGTCCCACTACCAACTAAGGAGCCTAACGTGACATCAGAGGCCAGGCAACTTGATTCTAGTTTCCAGAGTTCAGTTACATCACTCTGCCTGAACTAGCATCCTGTGGAGCATAAATTCCTTCTCCTCCCATCTGCCCTTGGCATTCCAGCACTATAGCAAATCTTCCGAGGATTCAGTCATCAGCTCTATTCCGCTTTGATACTCTGTTCTTTGCCTCTTTTTGAATTGTAAGACAGAGGGTGCTGACAACTGTGTGAAATCATTCCTTAGCCCTGAACATCTGCAAGGGAGAGCTTGGTTCAACACCTGGGGAATACACAGAAAAACAGCTTGGTGGGATTTCTTACACTGTCAAAAGACAGAAAGCTTCACATAGCTCAAGAGTAAAACCTTTTCAGCTGAAAGAGTCTTTGCTTTTCTGCCAAGAAATTAATGTCAGTTGCATTGGGTTTCCCTTCTCCCTCCTATCTATCTGTTGCATCAGAAATGCTCTCACTGCCTTGGGTTTAAACTTCTTTGTATAAAATACTGTATTACTCACTGTGCCTTAACTTAATCCTTCCTTCAGTTTGTTTTTTTTGCAAACTCTATGAAAGTGGTTACTTTCATAATGGTTTAATTTTTCTGTAAATGCATTAATTGGTTATTTTATATTTAATATAATTTTTGAACTGGAAGTTGGCTATGGCTTTTCCTTTACAGCTGTGTGGTCTTTGAAACTCTGTGCCTGCACACCAGAGCGTGTACCTGATCACTGTTTTCATCTTTGCCAAGTCACACATCCTAGTGGAATATTCAAGCACTGAAATTTAAAACAGCATACTACCCCCACCCCTTCCTCACAGTCCTGTGTAGTACCTGTTAACATACTCAATGTGTTCAGCTCTGCCTCAAACTAAAAACCAGTGCAGGACTGCAACCATCTCTGGCCTAGAGCTACTGTAATTTTATCTGAAAGCTGAAACATTTCTGCAGCTTTGTTAGAGAGTTTCACTGCTTTAACTACTGCTGCAGCTCAGCTGTACAATTAAGTTAAATTCCATAAAATACTTGCACAGGAGGTTAAGTTGGTGAAAGACTTTATACAGGTGTCTGGATTACTTTTAACTAGACCTATAGCTAGGGCAGTTTTATTTCTGTTACAGAACACCCTAAGAATTAGGTAACTCTACATACAATTCAACAGTTATTTACTTACCCTTTCTGTTGGACACTGAAAGCTGAACACAGAAAAAGGCCTGAGTAAGTTCTTTACCTCGTACTGAAGAGCTCTGCCTTTACAACAGAATGCTCAGCAGCACTATCCTTAGAGGAAGCCACACCGAATGCCATGGGAGGCTGGGGATGGCTGAGTGGATCAGGCCAGTGCTGAGACACCAAGAACCACATTCTTGCTGTTAGGGGACATTCACACTTAGAATGGGGTATTCAAGTAAGAGTAGGGCTTGGTACACAGGAAAAGAGTCCAAAAATATTTATTAAAAAAAAAAAAAAAAAATTACCTCTTAAACTAACACTTGCTTTTTTGGTTTCAGAAAGTAGTTCTGCGATTCCTGTACATACCACATTTTATATTACATAGGGAGAGGCAAGGGAGGAAAGGGAGGGAAGTAAAATGGAAGAGGCATTGATTCAGATAATGGATGTTTCCAGCTTCCAAGAGTTGGTGCCTCATCTTGCGGTATCTCTATGGATACAGTCTGCTCCTGTTCAAAGTCACGTATCGTCAACATCAGCAGCGTTGTCACTATCATTTGCCACAAGGACCTCTCTGTTCTCGTATGTCCAGAACCCATTCAGATCAATTAGAATGCTGGTAACAGTGTCTCCTTGACTGCTATTGATTAAGTCTTGAAGGGAGATTTTGTAAGGATCCTTAGGCTTCACCATATCAAAGATTTCATCCTATGAAAGAAAAGTCAGAATTGAGTTAAAAACCCCCACACATTAAGGAGCAGAATAACAGCTACTTTATGCCATATACAGAATGATCTTTGGGTAACTAGTGCCACCCACACTGATGTACAGAAAAACCTGCTAAATCCCAAACATTTCAGATAAAAAGCACAATAACTGGCTACAGATAGGAGCAGTGTGCTCAGCTCCCACATCTCATATAAGAATTTGCTTTTCTGGGGAGTCTTTGGCCTCAAAGTGGTGACATGAAACTCAGTTTATTGTATAAGCCAAGTTTTATAGAAGCCCTTGCACTTTTTTCTTTTTTAAGTACTAAAACTGTTAAATGTAAAGTAGGCAGTAATAAAGAGAGTTTTATAGACAGGTTTTTTTAGTCCCCAGTACACTCCCCCCTCCAAAGGGGGATCCTGAACCACAAAACAGACATACCAAGGATCTTCAGGTGTAAGGCACAGCAACAGGTATTTAACAGGTCCTTTGTCTATTAGTAAGGAAACTACTGGAACAGTTGCATACCAGATGTCTTACACAGCAATTGCTGAATAGAAAGACATTTTAAAACCTATGAGTAGGACAAGTCAGATCATCTCTACTACTCTGCAAGTAAATATCCAACAACCTAGAAATGACGATATAACACAAGTAAATTATGAAATGCTTATTCAAATACTTCACACAGCGTTCTGTTCAGGAAAACGAACCTTGACATCCTGAAAAGAAACTGGTTCTTGTCCATGGATTTTCATTTGTTCCTGAATAGCCTAGGAAAAAAAAAAGAGAAAAGTTAAGAATAGGCAGTGCAGTATCACACTGACACTGCGGGGAACTTTTCTAATGCTTCTGCATCTTCAGCTGAATTGCCCTGTAGCAAAGCATTCATGGTACAGCTGGCAATCAGTTCCCTTCCACAAGTGAGGCAGGGGCAAGTCAGGGCATAATCAGTGACAGGCATCCCTGTGTGTCATTCAGGTTCACAGTTCTCAGTCACTATGGTAAGAATCCAACTTTCACTGTGACCAGTGTTTTAAGCACGCTGCAAATGGGATATGCAGACACTTGAGTATTGCCACTCAACACTCAAAGCTTTAAGATAGTAATGCACTCCAACCAAGAGGTTCAGTTTTCTGACAAAATGTGAAATACAGAGTAGGGAAAAAGAAGGGAAAATGCCAACCAGCAGACAGACAAAGCAGTGTGGCTACTCACACTCTCAGCTACTTTGAAAATGGAACTTCAGTTCTGGCAGATCAAACAGTAATGTGAGGGAGATGGTGTATGTGCCTATTTGAGCATTTGTCCATACATGGAAGGGTTCTGCTGGTTCATGCCCTCAGTGGGGATCTCCTGTTTTGAACACAATAGTATTCCCTACTATTAGTTCTTTTAATGTGGCACCGTTTGAACAGCTGCATCACCAAACTTGTGCCTGCGAATAACAGCGATGAACAAGACAGTTTCCCTAGCACAGGCTGCACAGCCCTGTCAGCACAGCTGTGGCAGCAGAGCCTCTGCAGGTGCAGACCCACCCACACCTGTGCTAGCAGGAAAGCAATTACTCACAGAGTCAAAAGGAACTGTTCCCATTTCAAGGAAAACTTAGAACACTCCATTTCCAAAAGGAGGGACACGTTCTGGAATATGATCAAGCATCTGCTGTAGTCAAGGAATCTTTTCAATAACTAAGCCACAGAGTAAATATGCAACTTGAGACATGCAAAAAAATAGCTATGGCACAGTGGTGACACAGTGACCTTGTTAAACTGCCTTCACATGAGAATCACTTATGTACTATGACAACACTGTAAATTAACATCCTTTATTAAAATCGGAGTCTGAGACAGCTGACATGGCCCCTGGCCTCCCTGAATCCTACTGCCATGTCAACAGAAGTAGAAAAGTGGTGGGAATGGTGAGCTGTAAAAGCAGGGAGAAAAGACAAGTCATTGCTTAGTTTCTGTAGGATCCTCAGTATTGGCAAGTCCTGGCCCAACAGCTGCCCACCAAGTGTACAACACAGCTGCAACTGCTAAACAAAGCTCACAATGAAGTTCAAAAGGCACATGCAAAAACCTTGCCTGCATCTGCAGCAGCAGAACCCCACAGAGCAGCACGCTCGAGGGGCCAGCTGGTTAGACACAGCTTGGCAGGAAAGGTGCTGGAGGTCTTGGTGCACAAGACATTGAACAAGACTCCACAGGGTGCCTTGTATTCATGAAGGCAGGTAAGCACCGGGCTGCATTTGTACAAGCACAGGTAGCAGGTTCAGGGAGGTGATTATTCCTTCTGACTCAACATTTAGACACAGTACTCCAAACACTGCCTCACAGCTTTGGGCTCCCCTTTATGAGACACTGATGAACCCAGGAGAGGGCCATCAGGATGCTACAGCACAGCGAGAGGAGAGGCTTGAGATGTGGATTAATTCACCTGGAGAACAGAAGGTTGGGGTAGTGGAGGAGATCCAAGTACTACCTTCAGCTACCTAGCAGGTGGTTAGAGATAACACAGCAAGACGACTCTGGGAGACACACAGTGAAAGGGTAAGAGGCAGTGGACACTGACTGCAGCAAGAGGAATTTTAATTAGACAAAGATGGGAGAAAGGATGAGGGAAGAAAAGTCCTTTCAGTCAGGGCAGTCAGACACCAGAACACATCGCCCAAAGGGGCTGCAGAGTCTCCCTCCTTGGAGATACCCAAAATGCATGTGGACAGGGCCCTGAGCAACTTAACCATGAAGCTGGTCCTGCTCTGGGCAGATGGTGGGAGCAGGTGACCTCCAAAGGTCCATTCCACCCTAAATTATTTGATGGTTCCAAGGCATTAAAAGAAAAAGTCGTGGTGTTTTCTGGGGATTTATGCATTTGTTGGGGGTGGGGGGGAGGGGCAGGGAAGCACCTTTCCTTTTTAGAAAAGGTCTTCCAGATAAGTTGTATTCTTACAAAATGATATGGTTGTAGTCACTATCAAAATTCGTGCTCAACTGGAGGCTCATTACAATACAGGAGTAACGTGGATGCAAGATTCTGCCTCAAGCCAGCCTGCATGCTTCCCTCAGCGAGCTGAAGGGAACAGTACCTTGTTCATCACACTCGGAGCATTTGGCTAAGTACAAGGACATTAGTTGTACAGTTACAGTACAAACATCCACAGAAAGAAAACTGAAGTGCTTGTCCCTGTGTCTCAATAGGTATCACTGAAAGGATCCTGTACATGAAGAAAGCATCACACTCATAACTCAGCCTAAACCATCCACAGCAAAAATACAATCTTACTGCATGACATTTCCCTTCACAACACACCTCAGGAATCTATCAAACAGGACAAACCAACAAAATATCTGTCCCGACCTGGCCCCCCCACAATACCACCACAAGCCAGAAGAAAACAAAACCCACTCACACACAAACTGCAATTTGGAGGAAGACTTCACAAGCTTTAGGTTAATTTTAATAGCAAGTAAAAAAAATTAAGCTTATTTTAATTGTATTCTGGGAGCAATAGAAGATGAAAAATGCAGTAAGTGTTTTGCAGTCAATACACGGAATGAAAAAATCCCACAGCTGTACAGGCCCATCACTGCACTTTATTTTCATTTCTTCTACTGAATTTTAGGATTATAGTGGAAATTAAAACCATGGGCAATAACCAATTAGAACCATCATAAGAAATTTTAATAGGTAATCATTAGGCAATTTTAGGACAATTTAAATTTAAAAAAAAAAAAAAATCAATAGAAAATATTTTTCCTAAACAAAATCAAACCAGTAAATTTCAACTGTAGATAAAATGTTGAAAAGACCTTTTGAATTCTTTCCAAGTTTTGGAATTTATTTTTTTTAATATTTTAAATCTTCTTAGAAGTAGTTACTAGCCTCCCAGTGGGTATTAGTAATTTAAAGTGATTTCCTGCAGATCTGCATGCAGAAGCACACAGGCTATAACACTATAAACACAGAAAATGGCCTACCTGTATAAAGAGACTTACCCTAAAGAAATAATTAAGGGAAAAGACATTCAGGTGTCCTTTGTTCTCTATATCAAGCAGTTTGAAAATATATTGCAGAGCTGCAGGCTCCTTTCTGTTTTCTAATGCAAGCACAAAGTCCAGGTAGGTTTTATAGTCCTAAAAGTAGATACAATCATGTTTATTATAGTCTTCTTTCTAAATTGATTTTGCAAGCAGGAACTTTGTAATTGGCAGCTATTTCATTGTAGGGGACCGGTCTATTTTCTCAAAAAGACGACATGAAATAGCAAATGGCTGCTCCCAGCAATGTGAACAGAAAAGTCAGTTTTTAATGACTGCTGACGATATGGAATCCTGCCATTTCAGAGATAAAACAGGATTCCAAGCATAAATCCAAATTAAACATGCTAGATACACTTTTAAACAATGTTTAATACATCTTCAGACTGACAAACATGCCCAACAAGTGAATAAAAGCCACATAAAAGGTTGTCATCACCAGAAATTAAACATCCAGCAGCAGTAAGCCTACCACTACCGAACGGTGAACTATATGGCCTATTAAAGTATATAATCCTTAGACCAAAGTACGTAGTTTATCAAATCATGTGGTAGAATCATCAGTACTCATCACAAATATGTATCACACTTTCCTTTTTCATTACTACTGATTCTTGGTGTCCTGATCAAGATATAGTTGTGACATGGACAGAAATCCTTCAGTTCCATGTCTACAATAACCCTGTCTACCGTAAACACCAGAGAGTTGTGCTGCCAGTCAGAGGGAGCTTGACAGGCTGAAAAAATGGGCTGCCAGGAGCCTCATCAAGTTCAGAGGGAATGCAAAATCCTGCATCTATGCAGGAATAACCCCATGCACCAGTATGTGCTGGGGGCTGACCGGTCAGAAAGCAGCTTTGCACAGACAGACCTGGGAGTCCTGATGGGCAACAAAACTGAACACACGCCAGCAACGTGCCCCCTTGCAGCAGAGGCTGCTGACAGCATCCCAAGCTGCATGAGGAACAGCTCTGCTGGCAAGTCGAGGAAGGTGATCCTTCTCCTCTAGTCAGCTCTGCCTAGACCACATCTGAGCGCTGGGTCCTGTTCTGGTCTCCCCCGTATGAGAGAGAGACAGATCTACTGTAGCAAGTCCAGCAAAGGGCAACCAAGAGGATCCCTCACGCCCTCAGTGACTATACAACAAACTGCTGAGGCAGCAGCAGGACTGTACAATCAATATGTAATTTATCACTTTCAGAGTTCAGTCATCTGAACACAAACAAGAGTAGCAAGCCATTAAGTAAAGCTTTCAAAATAAATATAGATGTAAGTATTTTAATTCTAATTTAGTTAGACTTCTTATTTTTCTCAGCTATGGAAAGCTTACAACAAAAACCACTGTTGTGTTCATGAAGAAGTGGACAGGTTAGCTAACTTGCACTAGTCTGAAGTCTGCCACTTGTCTTTGCTTCTCTAAAGAACTACATGTAACTAAAAAGCATTGCTACATATATACATGTTTTCAACATGCACTTTACATTATCGAATCTACAAGAAACTTTATCCTGTCTGGATTTTGTACCACCTCTGCTTTTCAAAACAAGCAACTTGTCTTTAAGCCATGCTGTGATCACCTTGCTGTTAAGAAAATTCATCTAACCTGCTGTATGGTCATTTGCGTGCACAATGATAAACAGAAGTTACCTTACCTCAAGCTACTCTTTATTCTAAAGACACTGAGTATGAGACATTTCCTGTCTCAATAAGCCAAAGCTTTTGTATTGTGAACAAAGTGAAAATACAATTACCATTTCACCATCATAAGTTAAGCATTCCTGAAAGACACGGTCCAAAAATATGTTGGTCAGAGTCCCTGTTCCATACCGGGACAGTTCTTCTTTGCTGAGCATGCCATTGTGATCCTTGTCAAGGTTCAAGTACTGGCCTAGGGAGGAGATAGTAGAAGGCAAACCATAATATATTCATATCAGCAAAGAACTGTTTCAACAGGGAAAGAAAATTTAGCACTTTTTTAACATTTATTTAATTTTCATTGTAAAGTGGGAATATGCTAGATCCACAGTAATATTCATAGAGCATCATAAATGAGCACACGACATGGGGAGAGGGGAAGCAGGATTCCTATAACGATTAGTTCTACTCTAAGGTAATGGCTCACAAGTAAAGGCTGGGTATATAGAGAAAGGAAGGCTAAGAGCATATTATTTTAGATAGGTATCCTGTAAGCATGAAAAAAAGACCTAAAGGTGACACAAAAGCATAAATAAAACAGTCAAAAGAAGGTTACAGAGGAATCTTGTACCTTGTCCAACAAGCACAAAATGACAGAAGATAAAACAGCGAAGAACCAAAACTATACAGAAAGTCAGGAAGACACACTGAAAGAATGGCTACAGAAAAAACAAGTTTATCAGGAGGACTGAAAGAGAAAAAAACAGAGGAAAAACAACACTAACAATGTGATTGAGTCATACAAGGCAGAGAGGAGAGAAAATAAAAAAAAGGAACCCCCCCCCCACCATTCACATATAAAGGAACCTACCATAAACTCTTAATGCAGAAGGAGCAGAAAACCAATTTGTTTCCTGACTTTCTTTAGAAAGTTCTTCATCCCTTAACTAAGTGAAACATAAAATTAGAATTCAGAAAGAGTAAATTCAAACACAACAGTATATGCCAAGAGATCTTTACCTCCAGTAAGTCATCCAGGAAGCTGCAAGCTAAAATATCCTGTATCTTTATCTTCCCTGCAGCAAGAAAAGGAAAACACATTTTAAGTTGCCCAGCCAACATATCTATTTGACTGTTCTCAGTTAAGTGGTTCTATTTCAGAAAACAGTATTCTGAGTAGAAAAAAATCCACCTTTTTTAAAAAAAACAAAACCAAAGAAAACCAACTTCTAACATCAAGGATAAGGCTGTAATTTAAGAGATAAAATAAAAACATATTTTAAAACAACTGAATAAAACTAGCCTGATATTGGCAGAAGAGGAGTCATCCTAAAACCTTAAAAGCCAGAAAACTAGATTAAAAAAATGTGTGTTCAACATCAACTCAAAATGTAAAATAAAAAATGCAAAGAAAGCACACTTAAAACATTTGTTGGAATGTTAGGAGTCTCTTGATACGGTATTTTTACATCTTCAGAAACTACAGATGTGACACAAGCGAAGGTGGCAGAGTGCACTTCTGCTGGTGTAGCTCTGACTGGTGCACAGACACTGCACAAACAGCTGTGCAAAATAAGGCATTATAACTTCACACACAGCCTCTTACGTGTTTGCAATTACCTCTGCCACAGGCCACTGCCCACGCAACTCTTAACATGTTTGAGTGGCACAGCTAGATCTTGAAAATACATGCAGTTTGTTACTTAAATCAAGGGCAGACAAAAAAGCAAACTGCTGTCTGAGGGAGCTACATCTGTAATAAGGATTAGCAGCCATAGCTGCAAACCTTTTCTAATGAGTTTACATGTTGAACAAATTTAATCACAGGAGAAGCACATCACAATAAGTGTTCCTGAGTATTTCCACAGCTCTGGGGATGTGCTGCCAAGCAGTTCTGTTGTTGCTGTGGTTTCTATTCGCCCTAAACACTTATAAAATTAGCTACCACTAATGATGCATTATGATGAAACCGTATCTTATTTGTCAGTTTCTAGGAGATAATTCTGTAGTACCACAACTCACAGAATGTCAGGGATTGGAAGGGACCTTGAAAGATCATCCAGTCCAACCCCCCTGCCGGAGCAGGAACCTAAATGAGATCACACAGGAAGGCGTCCAGGCGGGTCTTGAATGTCTCCAGAGAAGGAGACTCCACAACCTCCCTGGGCAGCCTGTTCCAGTGCTCTGTCACCCTCACCGTAAAGAAGTTCCTTCTGAAATTTAATTCTGAAATTTAAGCGGAACCTCCTGTGTTCCAGCTCACACCCATTACCCCTTGTCCTATCATTGAGCATCACTGAGAAGAGCCTGGCTCCTTTCTCGTGACATTCGTCCTTGATGGCTACCTCACAGAAATTCATTAGCTGTAGAAACAGATTATTAAACCCATGTAAAGATTCATGTCTTCACTTCTGTGGAGATTAATTTTCAAATACAAGATTGCTGAACAAAAGCCTACAAAGACAACTACATATTACTTTGTAAACACAAGTAGCTTCAGTGGAAACTTTAAAAGTGGAAATACTCTCACACATTTAGAATTCTGAAAACATGGACCTGCCTGTTCTGAGAGGATCCAGAAAGAAGAAGAACTTTCTAACGGCTGTACAGACATAGAAGGAGTAAAAAGATTTTTCTAAGCCATCCAGTTGTGGCAAAGTAGGGATGAGTTCCAAAATATAGTTTTCTAAATCCTGCAGAATTAAGAAAGAAAAGAAACAAGTTTTAAACACTGCTATTGTTGCATGCTTGCTGTATTCCACCCTGGTTTTCAAGTATATTTTGCTAAAAATACCATCCTGCAACAATGCAGGAAAGAATATGAGAACAGGCAAAAAAGCTTCTGCCTCTATGCAAAAAATCCTAGGTCATATACATATATAAGTGATGCTGTGACAAATAAAGCAGAATGTTAACAAAGTATATGATATTTAAAAGTAAATATAAATGCATTTGGCTGCACCTTTTTCAAATACCAATGCATAACTCCTAATTGGATTATCCTGTTGCTGAATATTCTTTAATACATCTTTTTTAAGCAGCGATAAAATAAATAAGGAGATTCTAGTTACAATACTAACTCCTGTTAGAACAGGAGAATGAATAATTTATTGAGGTCCACTCTCATCCTCCTTTTCTGTGATTTCTACTATGTCCTATAAAATTTAGTAAAGTGCTAATGGCATGAAACCTTGATATCTATGATCTCTTTTACAGACAATTCCCCATACGTTAAGAAGTTTAGCAGCACTCCCACCACCAAATCTCTGGAGCACAGAGACTGCTATTTATCCAAACAAATGTGCCCACCCCAAATCTAGATTATAATAAATTTTTATGAGATAAGACTGGAAGAAAATTGGAGCCTTTCTGATGCTCTGTCATTTGAGTAAAGACAGATATTAAGTTAATCACAAATTTACTTACTGATTCTCTGAGGTAGCCCTGCCCTGCCACATCATATAAACTGAGACCTATTCTTGTCTGATGAAGCCATACTGTAAAACAGAAAACAGAATTACAATGCAAGAAACCGAGGGGGGTTTTGAGGCCTCACCAAAATCTGAAGTTATTCTAAAGGCCACAAGGCACTGCTGGATGGTAAGTCACTCTCTATTTCCCATTTTTCTGAGATTTAGGCAAAGCCATGATATGTACCAGCCCTGCTTAGAAACACTGTTCAGTCTCTAAGTAGGGTAAGACTCGCTGGCGACACGTGGTACCTTGTGACCAAGACGGCCTTATAATAACTAGATGTGAGAAATGGCTGAGCAGACACCACATTTTATTTGGTACATGGAATCATACAGATTCTTTCTCTCTTGCTGACCTAGAGATATGTGCAGCAGCACATTTTCAATGCATTAAAAACAGCTGTACACACATTGTATACAGATTGCTCATCAGTTTGCTACAGCCCCTCGTGCAGCGCAACACGCTGCAGCTACAGCCAAAGGTCCTGCCCTGACTTCTGAGTTACAACAGGAGATTAGAAAAGCACAAGCATCTATTTTTGCAATGAGAAGGCATGTTCATCAGATAATCTACAGGACAATGGGCTTGAGGCCACTGTTAAAGCACAGTAACAGAGATGGAGTACAGATTAGGCATAAAAACTATTATTTACACACTCCATGTTAAAATTAACCCAAATTTTATGAAGGAACAGTTTAAAGGTTCCTCTTACAAAATACAAACTAAGTTTCTGTCCTGGTTTTCGCTGGGATAGGGTTAATTTTCTTCTTAGTAGCTAGAGAGCACTGTGTTTTGGTTTCAGCGAGGATTGTTATGAGAACAATGTTGATAACAACAAGGACACTGTGCTTGGGCAGTTTCCAAGACAAGAGGACTGTAAGGGGGGAGCGGAGAAGAAAAGTGTAGTAGACAGTAAAACCCAGAACTGACAGGTGGATGTGCCAATAAGATATTCCATATCATATCCAGGCGGTCTCCCATAACAACATTTGTCTCTTCAAGGTAAGTGTTTGCCAAGGTGGACTAAGCATCACTCAGAACTGACAGAGATTATGTGGTGAGGCTGTTTCTTTGTTGGCTGAAGTTTAAAGGTAAGTGCATCATACACCCTGAAGTGATTCAAGACACTTTTATTAGGCTTGACTTGCTTGGATTTGACCAACTTCACTCCTGAAGGTGGAGCATTACTGGAGGCACATGGTGCTCTGGGAAATGCTTCACCATTATTCAGTTATTAACTTCACCATTCTCTCGTCCCCTCCCAAAAGGACTGGCTAGATCATTAAGAAAGAGGAAGAAAGGCTGTAATCCATGAAGTGTAGGAAATCCTCAGGCTGGAGGTAGGAAGGAGAAAGACAGAATGCTGCATGTTCAACACAAGTATGTGAATACATGCAGCTATTCCTAAAACTTCCACAAGCATATAAAAGAAAAAGCCCAAAAGCTCATTACTGAGTTCAGCTGTTGAAGAATACCACCACACACACATGGCACAGCCACAGCAGTTTAAGATGTTTTAAAGTCGGGGTGAAATGGCCTGTTCCCTGCTGCAGCACCACTCTGGAGGCCAACTGCTGCATGAGCTTCATCAAAACAAGGTGAAATGTGGGACTGCACTGCCCCAACTCGGATCAGCTGAAGCAGCTTCAGAGTAACTCCATCATCTGGTACTTCCCTCTCCTTTCCATGCCACACTGAAGGACATTTAGCAGTAAATACTGATGGAAGTCACTAATTCTAATCTAAAGTACTAACTGAAAGCTCCTACAGGAATTTAAGTCTTTTCTGCCTTTAATACCTGGCACAGTCTTCAGCCCTCATACAGAACACTGTACAACAGACAATAGAAATTATCTCAGCTCCTGCACAGACATGCTACTGGGCTAACTTTATTAGGCAGCTCCAATGCTGTAAGCTCGCAAAACCAAGGATCCTTATTCAAGACCCAAGAGAGACTTGCAAACAAAAACTGTGATGGGACCTTATGTTGGCCGGAGTCTGAAAATGAAATCTGACTGAGATGACAGATGCCAAAAGGCTTCCTTTCTCTAAATTTGGTGGGGTTGGTTTTGCTTGTTAGGGGTTTTTTTTGGTTGATTGTTTTTTTTGGGGGGGGTTTGTTGGTTTGGTTTTGTCTTTTTTTATAAAAAGGCATCACTATAAATACACAAGACTTAAAACTTCTGTGTGAAACAAATGAAACAGAGAGCTCTGAAAGAATCTCTGTTGTTGCATCCATCTGGGTAGGCCTTTTGGAATGCAGACAATTTTCACAGACCTCTTCCCAAGTCTCCTCTCCTGCAGCTTCTAGCTTTGCTGTTTGTTGCAAATGGGCCTATTACTGCTTTTGCATGTCCTCTGCACGTCTACTCACCACATTTCCTGCTCAACACATCTCTCATCCCTTGCACCACAAGATTTTAAGTTAAACAAGCTAAGCTGCTCTGGGGAGAGGTGCCATTCTCCCACCCTGAAGGCTCTACCAGACCTAAGAACACAGTAGCCAAGGGACAAGGCAATGAGACAACCTTCTTTCCGCTAGCCAGCCTCATCTTTTTTAAAAAAAACCTAATACAGATAAAAAAAAAATAGTAGCATGTTTCAGCCCAAATGGTTATTTATAATACAAATAGCTGAAAATATGGCAAGGCTATAGCGAGAAGCATAAGAACATGCTGACATATTTGACAAGCACAGTTAGAAAACACAGATAACACCACACTGCAGAAGGAAAAAGAGCAAAGCAAACTATCCGCCCGACAGTCTGATCACAGCGGCTAGAACCACAGTTGCCACGTAACTTCACTGTTTTGCTGTTCACAGTACTGCCTGAATAATGGAAATCAGAGTGACTATATATATAACAAACACATCAAGGGTATCTCTGGCTGAGGGGAGAGGTGGATTTCAAAGGCAGGGTAACTCCCACCTCCTAGTAACCAGAAAAAAATCCCAAGCCTCCAGGAAACCAGCATCAGCAATCAAGGGCTAGATCTCACTGCTGTTGAAGAGAACAGCAAGTAATTAATAAAGCTTAAAACAGCCTTGAAAAGAAAACAACTTCTCATTAACACAGAGGAAGCATCAACTAACCTTTTCGCATGACATAATTGAAAAACTGCATGATAGATATCCTCCCATAAGGATCATTATGGAGCAATTTAGCAAAGATCTTTGCTGTGAAGAACTGCCTGTAAAACACAAACATAAAGCTATTTCTGTTCACCTGATGACACAGCACTGACAGACCCTGTTACAGCATCCACAGCTTACAAACACTTCAAAATATTGTTTTAACAATACAGGACATGTTCTGTGTATTCAAAGACGTTAATTTGCTACACTACGCCCATCAAGTGGGATCCTACCAAGTAACAAGAGTAAACTCAATAAAAAGCAGCTGCCTTTGCTGCTCATGAGACTCAGCAATGTGGGAGTTTGAGAGCTTTCATTCAATTTAATTTCTCTTTAGTACAACATATTTGGTAGCTTCCAGTCTTCTACAATGACATGGACATAAAAGGAACTGCCAGTACTGATAATTAATCTGCTTCTGCCCAAAACTCAGTCACGAACCTGTATGCACAACAGCAGTCTCCAACAGGAGCACAGAGGAGGAATATTCACTGTATGCTGTACATAGAACACGTGGTAGGAAATTTTCCATCAGAAGATATTAAGGAAAGTTGGGCAATATTACTGGAGACATCATTTCCTCTTCAAATACAAAATGTGCTGTTTACTGGCCACTAACATAATAAAAATGCTCATGCTGATAAGAATTTCTTCTTCAAAAGGATGCAGTACCCCTCCTGCAGACATCTCTATCAAAAGTTCCCTCAGAGATATGGGGCAATACTTTACAAGGACACAAAACAACTAGTTCATCAATAGCTAAATGGACATGATTTTATCTCATCATTAAACTGTTTCCATCTATTTTAGCAACCAAAAATTATAGCAGTACTTAGGTTTAGCCAAAGTAAGAATATACAAGAGAAAAAAGCCTTACTTGCATTTAGGTCCAGCTTTTTCACCAACTTTCAGGAAGTTCTCATAGTTGATCATTGCTTCTTCCCCAATCATTGGTGATGTCTGATGTTTGTCCAGTAGAAACCACAGATTCTTAAAAGGCATTTATATTTGGTTAAGAAGATATCTCTCTAGACATGTCAATGTGCTTCAGACAGAGCATCTAAGAAATGCAGCAAAAATGTGGTTTTGCTGCAAGGTTACCTCAGCTAATCAGTACACATCATCAATTCAGTCAGAAAAGGAAACAATTGGTATTTCCAGTGCTCTAAACTGGTATTAAACACACAGACACACACTCTCTCTCATTCACTAGGATTTCTAGGGTCACATCCCTTTTGTCTTGCACTGCAGTAAACACAAACATCTTTGGAGTCTCTCTAAGTGATACACAAACAGAACTTATTTCTTCATATTCTTATTTCTTATATCTTCTTATTTCTGGGTCCATTAGGGAAATTGTTGGGATGTGCTAGAAAACCAGAAGCCTTTGCTTTAGTCCTCGTATACATTATAACAAGGAAGCTTTACACTGACATTAGCAGCCCAAGATGATGCAGCACTTCAGCTTTAGCTAGTGCTTCACAACCAGCCAACATGCCCAAATACAAGCACCTTACCACAAGATTCTGTGGGCAGACAGGCGATAATTAAACTCTGCAGGAAGAGGAAGTCTTGTCAGAAGTCATTACAAGACATACAGAAAATACATTCTTACCTGCAGCTCTTCATTATCCAACAGCTCTCTACTTTTTCTTTGCAGAAAAACTGCTCTAGATTCTTCTCTTAATTTCTGAAGCAAGACTTCATCTTCAGCTGGCAGCTAGAAACATTGTGGTATTTTAATTTGCTGCACAGTGGTACCATTCAAAGACTACACATCTAGAATGAACTCTTAGGTAGTCCTGACTCACACACTGCTAATGCTCTTTAGGTGACAGAAAACACTGACCTATCCACCAGAATGCTGTATGGTACCTGCTGCTTCTACAGGGATATCACTTGCACACTGTCTCAAACTATTTCAATATTGAAGTATTTATTTAAAGCAGGGCATCTTTAACATGAGAGACAGAGACCCACCTCATACCTGATAACCCATCCTGCAGGCACTTTCCCACAGCTGCACGACGGGAGGGCTCACACACAGAAGATATTGATTACTGTGTGTTTGCCCAGGAGAGAGCAGCACTTTCTGTTTTGTGGCAGGCCTGACTCAAAAGTGTGACTGTCTACTAGGCTTGATTTGGCCAACAAAACAGATGGAAGAACACTCAGTATGAAAGTTCTGCTGATGTTTACATGCAAAACTGTACAGCACTACCAGAACTTGGATGGTTGCATATGCATTCATCAACAGAAACACAGGTATTTGAGAACTTAATTGGCAGAAACTCATGATCCTAAGGAATATGGGACCATGCGAGGTTAGACAGCAGCAGAGCAATGCCAGCAATATCAAGACATTGAACTCACGCTCCCAAATTCCCCCATCCCAATCTGATTCATCTCACACATAAGTTGCTGGACCAAGCATTTCAGGTGGGTGGTGCAAGCAACAGACCTGTCTTTAGTCTGCAAAAACAATGACCCATCATGTTCATGAAGCAGCATGCCATCATGTCTACACAGAAACGGGAAGATACGTATTTCTAACACAAGTATGTCAAAATTTAGTTAAAATAGGAAGTTTCACTGAAAGAGAAAGAAGACTTCCTCTCTTCAGTAAACAGCCAAGACACCGCCTCATTAGCAAACTATTTAATGGCCTTTGACGAGATGTTTAGTAATTATTTGAAACTGCTGAAAACCACAATTGTACACAACAAAAATTTATGCTTAGCAGTCCACAACATTCAGATTTTAATCTGCTTCTGAAGCTGAAGTGTTCCTTTGAATGAGCACAACTTTATAACACTGAACAGCCTCTTGTTGAAGTTTATCTAGATACCTCACTTACCCTGTAGTAAAATCGTGGTATGTTCGTATAGGACGTATTGCCACTTTTTCTTCCTCCTTTCCATTCCATGTAATATTTTGTGAACAACTCCATTTCTTCATCTTTTAGCTCTTGTTCGCTTTTTCTGGCTGATTAACACAGAAAATAATTTTCATGTTGTACTCCAAACAGAGTTTTAATTTAACAAGGAGTTCATGCTGAGGCTTACACAGCTATGCTGTTTAGTAACAGCAGTGTTGGGTGGAAATGAATGGAGCACAGGCCCATTGTGTGAGCTCTATAACAGATAAATAGAATATACACGTGAGGTATTGGATGTGAGTATCTACCAAGCACCTCTTCCAGCCGCTGCACCCACCTGGTTCTCCGTGGGGTACGGGACTGTGACAGACACACGGTCACCACTGACACAGCAGCACCGTCTTGTTTTACAGGG